CAATCAAAACCTGGTCTGACAGAAAAGGTTTTGAATGTATGGGTGAACCATCGAAATATGAACATAGACGGTGGAAAAAGGAATGGCTTCTATTACCGTGACGGTGTTGAACCGAACATTTTGACGATCTCTTAGCTTAGTAGATAGCCTAACGAGTAATGGTGAGAAGATGCTCGAATATATAACTATAAAAAACAGATCAAATTGGCTCAGATGACTGTAGTTTTTTTGCGGAACAATTATCCGGTGGAATTTTCATCTTCATTTCAAATTCCATCTGCAATTGAACTTGATTTTTTTCCAAGGCCGGTCATCATATTTGGTCAGATTCATTTTGTTGGCTTATCAGACCCGACAAATTTTGCTAAGGGATTATTTGATGTTTGCGGATGGAACGACAGTAACATTTGGACTTTTGAAGGATATCTTTGCTCTTGACAGGAATAGGATTTTGGCAATGGAACTCCGAAATGAGGGCAACAGTTTGAACCATTCTACTCTCAGCTGAAATTGATTAATGGAAAAATAATGTCAATTGTATGAAGAAGTGGTTAGATTATAAACTTTATGTGGACTCTTGATGAGGAAATGGTGTACCTATAAAAAAAACATAGAGAACTGGGATAAAAGAGATAGTAGAAGAGTTATCAGTGTGGAGCGGTTAGGACGAATTATTAGAATTTATTTATTAGAAATTATTAGGTGGGGAGATCGGCGGTAAGGTAAGGTCCAGAGGAGAGGTGGAAAGAGAAAATAATGAAAAGTTTATGCATAGGCTTATATACAAGCTTATATTTCGTCTGATTTAGCGCTGTCTGCTGAAATATCTTGATGTAGTTATTACTATTAAAGCAAACAAATAGTACTATCACATATCAAAGATTTATTTTTTTAAAGTCGAAATGTTAAGTCGAAATAGCAAATAATTCTAAACAATTATTATAAGGCAATAATTGGAGAAATGTTAGCTGAAATAAGAATCTATTTCCAAAGTTTATTGTTAAAGTTGAAATGTGTAAATTGTTGGTTTGTTTGTGATAAGGACACATCTGATGAAGGTGTTGAGGTGGCAGCAATTGCATGGCATTCATTTAGACGGGCGTCAACTTCAGCAAATAAATTTTTTAGGTCAGTCGTATAAATCTAAAATAACGATTTTAAGATAATGAAATTGAAGAAGAGGATAAAAATTAAAAGGCTATTTTTACAATCTAAATGATTGCCATTACGGTGAAAAAATACAATTTTAACTAGAAAATTAAGAGAAAGGTTATAAATGCAAATTCTTTTTTCATATGACTTGGTCCTTCAGAATCGTTCACAATCTTTGGATTTGTTTCTCGAACTTATTCTTTCGAGTTTTCATTGTTTATTCTTTGAAATTTGATGTCTTCTCATTCTCTGAATCCTGAATCCTGTGCTTGTTCTTTGGAATCCATCATTTAGTCGTTATGAACTTATTTTTGGTTTGATTCTTTTTTCAACGAATAGCAACCCTCAAGAGGCGCACTAACTTTATCAATGAACTTCAATTATTAACGATATTTACCTTCCTAGCTCGCCTTGGCATATACATATACATAGGAGAAATTAATCCTCTGGCAGCACCACGTGGTGTTTGATCAGTTTGCGCAAATACCCATCTTTTCCTTGCCTCGGGATATTCCATCGTCGAATTTCGACGTATTTGATAATTTGCCGCAGAACGAACGGAATCTGCAATTTATTTATATGTCCTGTAATATCGCTTATTTC